TTTGTAAGATGCAAGTGTATGGAGGATGGAGCAATAATATTTATTTTATACTATATATGATAATAGATTGATTTTTTTTATATAATATATCTATAAATATAAATTGTATGGCAAGTTACGTGAAGTTAACTAGTATAGCCTATCAAATGTTATTGCATGGCTTTAATTATTTCAATTCATTTCAGCATTATTTATTTATTATTATTATATATAGATATATATATACTTTACAAACAACTGTTAGAAAGACATTTATGCTTACTAAGCATTGTTGAAGACTGACCTGTTGCAATGTAGTGTCCTCAAAAATAATTAAAGCATGAGGTATAAGAATGATAGTTATTCCTATATATATAAACTTGATAGGAGAGTGCTCACTAAGCACTCTACGGAGCCAACACAAAAGGCTATTTGAGAGTCTAGGAACCTATAGACTAATTAGGTGGCACAACATTAAGCTTCGTCTAACCGACTCTAGCTTACTATAAATAGGTCTACTCAATAGTTCTCCGATCATAGGTACTTCAAGTGTGTTAGTCTCCTAAAAATTATAGACAGAAGAAAGAAAGAGTGAAGTATGGTGAGATTTTGGAGAAGCTCAAAGTGTTTGGACTTACAACTGGGAGTTATACAATAGCGTTGGATTTGAGGTAGGGGTTTTTCTTGGGGAGGTTTTGCATACATTGATTTAATTAAATATTGTAAATACTATATTATGCTTGATAATATTATTTGATTATTAATATGCTTAGTTATATTGTTTGATTGCTTGATATTGGATGTATACGTGTTGTCAATTATCATTATAATTTGATTAATTTTGACATATTCATATGTTGTCGGTGGTGGTTGGAATTTTTGGGTTGATAAAGAAATTATGGAAAAGAGGATAATAGGAAGTATCTTTTGTGTAGTTGAGTCTAACCATTGTAGGGACCAAGTTCAGGCGAGCCCGTGTGCACAGTAGATTAGGAAATCGACAGTATAATTGTCGATTGGGTGATTTGGGCTTCGAGATCAATGGTGTAGACAAGATGACTAGCAAAATGGGAATTATAGGATAATTGAAATGAGTGTTAGTTTATATAATGGGGCATTCGGAATCACAGTGGTAAAATGCATGGTATGGGACATGCAGATTTGCTTGCCTTATTATATAGATTAACGGGTTGGGTAGAATTGAAATTCATTCATGCATTGCATAAATTGTACATTATAATCTCATTAATCACATAAGACATAGGACCCCTACTGAGCATGTAATGCTCACCCCTTATTGAATCTATTGCAGGCTTTGAATCTGAAGTGTAGTTTTTGCTGAGGAAACAAGAAGAACGGATTATGGATAGTTTTGAGTGTTTTGCTAAAAGTTTGTTACTTTCTTATTATTTTGCTTGTAATAGTACAATGTAAATTACTTTAACTTAAATGGAAGTTTATGTTCAATCTTCATGTTTCTTGGTATTTAAATTTTTTTAGTTTTAGTTTTTCTTTTACCTCACATTCCCAAATATAAAAAATAATAATAATAATAAAAAAAAATTGGGGTGTGACATATATATATGATATTAAAATTGGAAAGCCTCCTGGCCTACACATATTGGTCTTGTGGTGTAGGTGGTGGCTAAGGTGATAAGTATTGCGGAGCCTCCCCTTCCTTGTTAGATTAGGAAAGCTTGCAGACGTCAGTTTGTTGTGGATTGCTGGTAACATCTGCATTACTCCATTTTCTGTCTTCTTCATTGTCTGCCATCTTGCAATTTAACTATAATATCTCGACGTCGAAAGACGTTTAACTATAATATCTCGACGTGGAAAGACGTTCTTTTGTTTTTTTTCTCAGTAAATTATGAAACATGCCTGTAGACGTTATATCTAGAATTTAGATGTTACTACTGGATCTAGCGGGCTTGTGGAGTTGTTATTTGGGGAAGAAAACGAAGCTTATGTAGAACGAATATAGCAGTAAACTATTATGCTGTTATCTGATTTAGCATCAGATGGCTCTTTTAAAGCAAACTTGTCTGACATACCTGCGAATAGAAACCCTGGATGGATGTTCAAATTTCCTTCGTTATTACAAAATATAAGTGCTTAGTTAGTTGTGTGTGTTACATATGTTAAGATATATATAGATGTCAAAATGAGGTAACATGACTGTCCATGATGACCTGTAGCTTGTAGACCGAGAAACATCAGCTCCAAAGAAATTGGATGATCACTTTGTAAAACTTTGTGTTTAACCTGGTATCTCGAGAGGTGAAAGGAATTTAGTTTGATTGGAGGATAATACACTCTTCTTATCTTGCAAAATTTACTCTACAAGGTTCCAAAGAATGCTCTTAGCTCAAAATATTATGTATGTATTGTATGAACTGCCTAAATAATAATTCTTGAACAGCGAACAATCAGAACTATTACTCACAACATCACAAAATTTTCATTAACGAAAGAAGCCCCATAGTTTCAGCAAATCTGTATTTAGCTTAAACAATTTTTTTTGAGTGGTGATTTCCCCACTCCTTTTTCTCCTATTTTATCCACTTACACTCCTTTTTTATAACTAAAAATGGAGTGTAAGTGGATAAAATAGGAGTGGGGAAATCATTGCCCTTTTTTTTTTACCGTATTAGTCTAAACATTTTGGGATATTAAATCTTGTCTTAATGTACAGTTATGTCATATAGGGATTCTTATGTGTTCGTCACTCAGACAAGTTATGTCGAGTCCTCAGTTTCGAATACCCAACCCCGCCACGCGACAAAAGGAACCTAACACCATTCCCCAAAGTCAAACTTGCTTTTCCCACTTTGTCTTTGCTTCCCCAAATCCTTCCTCACGCGCATATAGTTTTATCAATAAAAAAACAAAGCCACAGAAAGCACTTTGTGATGCAAACAAAGTCAAGGTAGGTGCCCATAACAAAACACATCACATGCCATCAAATTTAAGCCAATTCCAACACAATTGAGTCGCCTAGACTTAAATACAATTTTGTTGGGTTTAATATATCCATGAATTTCTTCAATACTTATTTTCCTTCCAACTTTCAGAGTTGTGCAGTGGTGGTGTTTTCGTTGGGGCGGAGTTTTGGTTTGGAAATAGAAGCCAATACCAACGAGAAGAACATTTTCTGAAATCGAAGATTACGGTATATATTATATTCATCATTAGAGCATCTACAATGGGCTTTCAACCATGCTTCTTATCCACCTCCTAAAATAAAGAGACTTCTAGGAGCTTTTAAATCCGAGGAGAGAGAAAGGACTCCTAATGACTCCCTATAATTTAATGCTGCTTTATTTAATGAATATTTCAAATATTTAATGAATGCTAACTATTTTTTATATTATTTTTTTAATAGAGATTGCTTCAGATTATCTAGCGGGCTTGTGAAGGCTTACATTCCTAGTCAAGCCTGGAGTTGTTATTTGGAGAAGAAAACGAAGCTTATGTAGAACGAAAAGAAGGAATGGCAGATAAGATTCTTGTTAATAGCAAATTCACAGCATCTATGTTTGCAAAGACATTTAATAATCTTAACGCATGAGGAATTCAGCCAGTCTTTACCCAGCTGTTAATGTGAAACAGTTGATGAACCCACCAATTTGTATAAGTAACGAACATGTTTGTATATGGTTTACAGTTTCCTCGATGATTTTCATTTCCTTTCTGTCGATATACCGTTTTGAGAGGAAAAAGAATATAGACTAGGAAAATTTCAGCTTTTGCTATGCTTCGTACCCTTGAATCCTAGCTGTTTCTCGATCCAACTCTGTTTGTATTCCTTTGCTCCTTCCCGTTTGGATTGTTCAATGACATCAGACTTACAGAGAATTTGTTGAGGGTGACCCCAATCTCTGGTTTGAAGAGATGTTCCCTGTGCTGATCTAAAAGCCATGAAACGTTCTTTAAAATAGTTTGAAATGTCAAACTTTAAATCTTGACCACATATTCAGATATGATTCTGCCCAATCAATAACCTTAATTGCTATAGTTCGACAAAAGAATGTATCTAGGCAAAAACAAACATGAAAGCTTCAGCTCCAAAAGTCCCTCAAGGCTTTCAAATGAAAAACTGCATCCTGCTATCTAGCCGCAACAGAGAACTATATGTACCCAACAGACTGTCAGACTCAAACAATCACTATTGACAGAACTATCTCAAAGCAGTTGTAGACATCCCCCTAATTTTTGCAAACTCCGTTATCATGAAACTCATTTTGACAGATTTATTTAGAAACCGAGTGAAAACTTTGAAGAAAACTAGCATTACATATCACCTGCATTATGTGAAGGTTGCAGAACTCAGTGAAGTGATTGCCTCATGGTTTTAGCTACATTATGTGAAGTTAGAAGTCAGAACCTCCAATTGATTATGCACAAGCATCCGAGGATGGTTGAAAGGAAGCATGCTGCAAAATCCATGACATAACAGTAGAAAACTACTGAACTCTCACCGCCCTATGAATCACTTACATATCGCCCATTGTCATATTGGCACTAAGTTCCAATTTCATTAAAACTTTAAAAACATGCTTGTTTATATACTTGAAGATGGTTTAACGTAGCATCTACACAAATACAAGGTCCACTAACATATAATTACAATCTTCAAGAGCAAGTTGTTCTGATAACCAACAAATAAAATAGTGCAGTGTATGACTATCCAAATTGAATAAAAGCATGCATGCTATGGTATTTCTATGGAGAACCCCAAGCCACCTTATGCCAAAGCATCTTAGATAAAGACTGCCTGAACTCTTACCTAGCATTATTCACAGATGACAAATTCGCCTCAATTTGGATTAGAATCCACAGCTTCAATAGACATACATATTATAAGATGAGAAAGCTCTTCAGTACTCACAACTGCGCGCGCACACATACACACACACCAATAATCTCACCTTCTTACTCAATATCAATAATTTCGCTATTTGAGTCATCCTCAAGAATGTTGTATGCTACCCGAATCAAACTATAAGCTAGAGAGAAAATGTCACAAAAGAAGCACAAATGTATACAAAATCGAAATCTTGACAAAATCCCCATTACCATTCAAATTTGTACACTGAATACTCGGATTAGCAATTTGATCAAACTCAAAATGAAGCCAAAGAAATTTGCACACATAGGTATTTCGTATATTCAAACAGATTGAAAGGCATGAATTCTTGCACCATTTTCCACATAATTTAACAACCAAACTACCAAAGCTCAGTCTAACGTGAGTTCAGTTGGAGCAGCACATACAAACTCAAAACGAAGCCAAAGATCAAGCTTACTTGCCAAATTCCACGACAAAAATTGAAAAGTTGCCTTAAACCTGGAGATCACTCAAGAGCATTTGCGGCATTTTCAGGGAGCTGCTGCTGTTGTAAAATGGACTTGCGCTGAAGCTCAAGCCATTTGTTGATTCCAACAGTGCAAATAACTACCCAGAATTTAAAATCAGCCAACCATTTAGAAAGGGAGAAGAAGAAGACTTAAAATTGAAATGAAAATTCATGACTTACAGCCAGCGCCGACAAAATAAAGCAGACGGAGGAGCTTTGGCGCTGGGGGGCCCGCTAATTCTTCTCCACTCATTGCTTTTCTCTTCTTCCTCTTACAGACTATTCTGTGTGAGAAGTTGAGAACAGAGAAAGACGACGACGACCCGTTTTATTCCGAAACTGAAATGGGTCGGATCATATCGAACTCAGGTGTGCATTTATGAATGTACAGCCTGTGCCTCGAAGGCCCGAACACAATACTTTGATATTACAAATGTTGGGTCAGACCCGACCCAGTTTTGGCCCAAGATGGCATAAAAAACCTCTCTTTTGAGACTTCGAATTAGAATTTGCAGAGAATTGAAGGAGACTTTGCTTCCATATCTTGGCTTTAACATATTCATCCGATGCGTCTTGTGCATCTTTTTAGTGTTTTTTGCTGTGATTTCTCACTGATTATTTTTGGGAATTTGAAATTTGTGACCCTTGATTTCTTAATACATGAAAGTTATTTTATCTAGTCTAATATGAATTAATAGAAAAGATTTTTATAACATGAAGGGCATCAACGTATGACTGTTATCAATTTTAACACTGTGCTCTTCACAACTCAATGCTCTGTTATTTTTATGGAGTTAATGAATATGGACAAAGTGAGACAGAGAATTAAGTTTCAGGGGGTAAAATGTGACAAATTGAGTTTTAAGTGGCAAAGTAATATTCAAATTGAGTTTCAATGACCATATCAATAATTAACTGCTAGAAGGTCCAGTCCTCTCATCATGCTTTAGACCTAATGTGGTTTACAATTTTGGCTACATTAGTTGAAATCTCTGTTCGACATATATAGAAGGGGTTTGAAGAATTTGTATTGTATGGTTATGGTTGTTTGCCAACTTCTTAATTTTCTGTGATGTTTGCATCCAGGGACTAATCAATTGAACAATCTAAACAAAACCCAAAAAGCAATTACATGTATAAATTTTTTATCTCATTGCTTGTGCTTGTGCTTGTGCTTGTGCTTGGCTTAGTAACTTAAATACATGAACAATGGGGAATACAACCCAATTCGTTTCATCATTAGCTCATTCATCCCATTCAACAATACAAACAAAACCCACAAAGCAATTATACAAAGAAATTATTGTCTCTCTCAGTCTCGGTGCTTCTGCTTTCTTTAGTAACTATTAAAGACAAGAACAAGTGATCAGACCTATTACAGTTCATCACCAACTCATCCAATTTCAAATCCCAAACAAACCCAAATTCAGAGCGATTATTTAGAAGCAAGATTAGTGGCACAAGTCTACGCACACTCTTCCTTTCAGAATCATTTATAATTGCATTGCTTTCAAGCTAACTATAAGAAAATCAAAAAATTAGATGCAACTTTCACAGAACTGCCTTTTAGCTTGCAGCTTGCTCGAAATTACAGAATTGCTATCTTCCACTACAAATGCAACATCCGCATGCCAACATCCAAACACCCGCCTCCCAGAATCATTCTCCACAACTCAGCACAATTCACTTATTCCTGGTTGGGGCTCATTTGATTGCTATCAATATGTTCGGCAAGTAGTTGTTAACTTGTGTCCACTCAGAGGGTTGAACATTATTGCTCTACCAAGAAACATTATTATAGTAGTTGCCTTCTTTTGGGCCAAACAACTTTGAAAGAATGACTATCCTCCAATTTTGAATTTTCTTAGAAGAATCATGAACAAGAAAACAACTTTGAACATGAATAAGATCAGGCTTGACTGGCACTGTCACTCTCAGGCCGGCCGCATCTATCTGGCAAGAAAAATAACACCATCTATCTTCCAAATTCCATGAAAAATTATCATCATAATGAAAGCAATAAACAAGTTGTAAGACATTTGCAATTTAACTCAACTGTCATAAAGTAACGCAACCAGCGTGGATACTGGCAAGGGAAATCAGATATTTCTTGTGCTTGAAAGCGAATGATATAAATTTCTTAATGTCCGGTATTGACCAAGTGGTGAGCGAAGATTGAGAAAATTGTTTAGGATTTGGAATAGGTCAAATTTTCGGTCCCTTATAATATAGTTAAAAATACAATTCATGAAGCCAATAGAGTCTAGTCTAATGGAAAACGACCTTGATTTGTAAATCAGGGGTCTTAATTTCAAACTCTCATGTCACCTTGACAATATGTGTATGTGACAAAACCCTTTCTCTCCAATAACACTTGTGTATATAAAACAAAAGAACAAAAAAGAAAAAGAAATATACAATTCATGAAAATATCAGCTCCCAATCCCTATAAACAAAAGAAAGTGTTACAAACTTACAAAAAACTTAAAATCTTCTCTAAGTTCCAATATAATTAAAAACAGGTTTTTGGCAGATTGGACAGTACAAGAAGATAGGCACAAAACATCTTATGTATGCCATACGGTCACTACAGATCATGGAATTTTATGCCTTTAGGCTTAAAAAAGGTAATCACATCAGAATCCTAGGATAGGATTTACACATGAAAAAGATTTATGCTTGTCCTCTACAACCTGCCTCATTTATATTAATTGTATTTTGATATCATCAATGACATAAAACATAAGAGCAAAAGAATATTGAACTTTTGGGAATGTCCTTCCCAAAAGTAATTCCCCCCTTCATCATATTTCGAGAAACATTACGAAATTCCTTGTCTTTAACCTGGTATCTCGAGAGGTGAAAGGACAATACACTCTTCTTATCTTGCAAAATTTACTCTACAAGGTTCCAAAGAATGCTCTTAGCTCAAAATATTATGTATGGATTGTATGAACTACCTAAATAAGAATTTTTGAGCCATTACTCACAACATCACAAAATTTTCATAATGAAAGATGTAAATCCAGGTTTTTTTTAATGAAACAAACCCCGCCACGCGACAAACTTGCTTTTCCCACTTTGTCTTTGCTTCCCCAAAGTCTTCCTCACATGCATATAGGAATATGTCCAATGAGGTCTTCTCTTTGGTTTCATTAGTAGGAATATCTCTTCAACCACACAATTTAAATTGTGGTTGCTGTTTGCTGACTTCTCAATTTGTAGTGATGTTTGCATCCTTTTCAAGCATCATTGCTCTTATATATGTAAATACTTGTGAGCAACGGCACATACACAAAGAAACATGCTAGTGCAAGCTTATAACCTAATGGCTCATGCCTTCCTTCTCTTCCTCTTATTCTCTTACATTATATCTACACATATTCATGCCTGCAAACAAACTGAACGCAGCTCCCTCTTGTCCTTCGCCCACACTTTATCTTCTTCTCCTTTAAATTGGACATCCATTGATTGCTGTCGTTGGAAGGGCATCACTTGTGATCAAGATGGTTGGGTCACCCGTTTGCTCTTGCCTTCCAAAGGACTCAAAGGAGGTATCTCTCCCTTTGCACTTGCAAATCTCACCCACTTGAACCTTTCCCACAATTCACTATATGGTTCACTTGAAACTCAGTTCTTCTTGTCTTTGAATCAACTTGAGATCCTTGATTTGAGCTATAACCGTCTTTTTGGAGAACTACCACTGTATCTTCCATCTATTTATATACGGACAGTTGATTTGTCCAGCAATCACTTCGTTGGTGCAATTCCATCTTCATTATTCCAACAAGCAAGCAACTTGACTAGTTTCAATGTCAACAACAATACCTTCACAGGGTATGTCCCATCCTCTATTTGTCTCCATTATTCTCCCTCCCTTAGGCTATTGGATTTTTCTTCCAATCAATTTAATGGCGACCTTGCTCCTGGGTTAGGGAAGTGTTCTGAATTGCAGGTTTTTCGTGCCAGTCACAATAACCTCTCAGGATTACTTCCAGAAGATATCTATAATGCTACTAAACTTGAAGAAATTGCATTGCCTTTCAATTCACTACATGGAGCCATTAGTGATAAAATTGTCAACCTCACCAACCTTGCCATCCTTGACCTCTCCTTTAATCATTTTGGGGGCGAGCTTCCTCTCAATTTGGGGAAGCTCTCCAAGTTGAAGTTTGTGACCTTTGATTTCAACAATTTAGAAGGTGCTTTGCCCACATCTTTGATGAATTGCACAAACCTTGTAGAATTGCGTTTGGGAAACAACAACTTGGAAGGAGATATCTCCATGCTTGATTTCTCAAGATTGAGTCAACTTACTAAACTTGACCTAAGGTTCAATAACTTCACTGGTACATTTCCAGTTAGCCTTTACTCATGTAGGTCCCTAAAAGCCATTCGGCTGGCTAAAAATCATCTAGAGGGACAAATACAAGCTGAGATTCTTTCATTGAAATCTTTGTCCTTCCTTTCACTTGGTGGCAACCGATTCACCAACCTCACATGGGCAATGAAGATATTGATGAGTTTCAAAAGTCTTCACACACTCTCGCTTGCTGGTTCCTATGAAGGTGAGGGAATCCCATCTGATGATGACATGGTTGATTTTGACGGATTCCAAAATCTTCGGCTATTGAATTTGGCTGGTTCTAACCTCAATGGTCAAATACCTTTATGGTTATCAAAGCTCAAGAATCTAGAGATGTTGGAATTGGGATTCAATAAAATCACAGGGCCAATTCCAAGTTGGTTGGGGACTCTTCCGAGGCTATTTTTTATAAACTTGTCAAACAACCGAATTTCAGGTGAATTTCCAAAGAAACTTTGTAGACTACCAAGGTTGCTTCATGGACCTAATATTGCATCTCAAGCAGACCAATATGAATTTGAATTGCCTATCTACGGCAGCAACAGCGTAACCGCAAGTCAAAATTTTCCGGCACATAAATTGTCTTTTTTCCCAGCAACGATTGTCTTATCGAAGAATAACATTGTTGGTGATATACCTACTGATATCGGCCAACTACAGCTTCTCCAGGAGTTGGATCTTGACTCCAACAACTTCTCCGGCGTCATTCCAGACCAAATATCGAACCTGAATAATTTAGAGGTTTTGAACCTCTCCATGAATCTCTTGTTTGGAATAATCCCATCGTCATTGGCGAGCCTAAATTTCTTAAAAGAATTTAATGTCTCATACAATAATCTCGAAGGATCAATACCAACAGGCACCCAGCTCCAAAGCTTCGAAGCTTCTGCGTTTGAGGGGAACCCAAAACTTTGTGGTGTGCCACTTCCAAATAAGTGCGAACCAAATAAGGGCATTGATGCAGATAACAAGAACAACAAAGACGTGCACAATGGGCTCCATCAACTTCCATGGTTTTATATATTTGCAGCATTGGGGTTTATAGTGGGAT